ATTAGTTCAACTATTTAATATGACAGGAAAAATAAAGTTGAGTAAACTTTGTTAGATATACTAAATACACTTTAAAATATAACATTAAAACTTATTTATTTATATATTATTACTGGCTTTTTTTAAATTTAACGTAAAGCTGCATTAAAAAGTTTTCAAATTTGCAAGTGGTTTTAACTTATTAATTTTACTATTTAATATTCAATGTGTAAGCTTTGTTAGATAGACCAAATACCCTTTCAAATAATACAACAAATTACATTTCTTGGTGATGTATTATTTATAGAATTTAAATTTTAAAATAAAGAAAAGCTGCATTTAAAACATTTTCAATTTGTGAGTCTTTTTAAATCCGATTATTTTACTATTCCTCATCAGAATCACAGTAGATCATCTTTTCGTTTTGCAGGATATCATCAACCCATTCTCACGTTAAATAATTACAAAATGGCAATTACAGAAACAGACTTTCTCCGCCCCTCTCTCTCTCTTTCTGTCTTTCTTTCCCAGAAATCGCAAGATTTTTCAGATTTTCCTGGCGAAAAACCCAAGTCAGTCTGAGCTGAGAAACGCCCACCCACCACCAGATACCAGATACCAGATGCGAGATCCTGGAAGGATTCAGGATTCAGGACTCAGATCCAACCGACGAATGCGAGGGCCTCCATCATCAGGATGGCGACGAGGAGGCCGAGAACAGAAGCCAGAGGACTAATGAGACTGCCACAGGACGCAGGACAACGCCTGCAGTGCGAAAGTTTAGCAAAAGTGTCAGAAAATGTGAATGCGATTGTGTGGGTGGTGGGGTGGTTGGGATAGTGGGTGGTTTGGGTGCTTGGGTGGCTGGGAGTGGGTAATGTGCCGAGGTAAACGGCAGCAAACGAGATGAATGATATCCAGACGAGTGATGCATGGTTCGCTTTGGGGGTGGCTGAGTGGGTGGCTGGAATTCCGAGGCTTCATTCGCCAGGATATGTGTGTGTGTGTGGCCCCCCAAAAAAAGGGGGCGGCGGTGGGCGGTGGGCGGAAGACGCCGCCTTGTAAGAGAGACGCAGGCGTGGAAGTAGCAGCGAATGAGCATGCGAATGCACACAAATATATATACACACCCACCCACTCGGGGGAAGAGGAAAACATATCCAGCTCGAATCTTGTCTACAATAAATCAAATTTTATTACACTTTTCTTTATGCATGCCACAGGATATATGGCAAGCGTATGGCTCACTGATGAGCACACAAACACCCAGGATCTACACACACACACAGGCACACAGCACTGAGATTTTCCAAGCTCATTTAGTGGGGTTCGTCCTTTGGCGGGCGCACTTTGGGGTGGGCGGTATTATCACACGGATTGACATCGTTGCCACACATCGCAAAGGATTCAGCTTTTAAGGACACGTTTAAACTTATGTATTTAAATACATTTCTCAATAATATGTACTTATAAATATAATAATAGGTATAAGATTTTTAATAAAACAGATTTTTATGTGATCTGGAAATCTAAAACCCAATTAAAAGAAAACGTTGTGTCTAATTAAGAAAATCTTCTTTTCAAGTCTTCCCTACTTTAATGAAACACATCAATTTAAATCAAATTACCTATGTATAACATACATTTTTCCTAAAAATAAGGCTTAGACAACAAAATGTTAATTAATTTAAAAGTGTCTTAAAAAATAATAGTTAAAATATTAAAAATAATTATTAAAATAATTTTACAATTTTTAATTTTAATAAAATTTAAAATATGTTGGACAAAAATAAATGTTTAAGTATCTCAAAAAAATATGTACTTAAGTATTATCATAAATAATAACTTAAATATTTTAGGATACTTAATTAATATATAATTAATTAAATATTTAAAATGTCGTAAATGTAATCTATTAACTAAATATCTTAATAATAATCTATTGTAATTATTAATACATTTTAAAATATATTTTTATCTATTAAGGTTTGTTGAGGTTTTAAAATTTTTCCAAGTAAAGACTTGTCGGCTATTTTTACAAAGCTTATATTTTTAAAAATCGAAAAATTCATCCAATTATTATATTAGCACATATGTATTACTTATTATATTTGGGGACCATCCTTAGTTTAAATATTTTCCCACATTTGCCTACGTTTTGTGATCTTGACATTTGGGCCATATAAATTTGATTTCCTTGTCTATTGCCTCAGGACTCGGAATTAACTTTGCGCTCACATTCGGGCCACCCACCTACACTCCGCCCACCCACCTACACACCGCCCACCTTCGCCCACCCACCCACTTAGACGTAGAGGCAGTGTCAGTGTCGGCAGTTTTGTTGGCTTATCAAAGAGCAAAAAAGTAAACCGTTATGCATGACACTTTTCAGAATTTATGTGTTTGTATCTCATTAAGCGGAGCAGCAGTGGGTTTTTTGGGGAGGAGTGGGGGCGGGAGGTCAGCCCAAAGGTGTCCCGTGCGCAACTTTCGGAGGCAAGAAAGACCGCGCCCCCCCTTGCCATCCAAAAAAACCGAGCCATCAATGAAGCCAAACTGAAAACTGAGGCGGGCCAGAAAAGTTGTTTGGAACATTTTCCAAAAATTATCTCTTAACACAAATGTGACACCGAGCGCATGTCCCCCCAACCGCCCACTCCCTCGGGGCATATCACATATGTACATGGTACATTGTGCACAGAAAAGAAATATATAAATTATAATTTTTCATCAGTTGTATATAATCACTAAATATTTAGTACAAATTTATTACAACACTTAAAACTCTTTGAGTAATAGCCGTTCACAATTCCATAAAACACAATATAATAATTTAGGGTCTAGACAAAATATATTAATAACTTAATGCCCAACGTGAAAGTTGTCTTAAGCATATATCTTTTTAAGTATAGCACTGTAAAATTTAAAAAATCATCATTCTCTAGATAATCGACCACCCAAAACTGCATTTTTTGAACACAAAAAGTGCCACCGTATTTCGGTTGAAAATCTTTAAGAAATTACAACGAGTTAGCCTTATTTTTTATATTAAATATAATTCTTAAAAATGTTTATGCTAAGTTGTTCCATATTATTGAAAAAGTTTTTATAAATTTAGAATATATAAAAAAAAATAAAAATTCTCTTTCTTTAAACTTAAATTTCACTTTATGTTCGATTTATAAAAATTAATGTTAGATTAAAATATGTTTTCATAATAAAAACAAAACATTAAAGTCCTGTTTCATTTAGTTAACACACTATACTTTATTTACTAAATGACTCATTTGAATGCTTTTTTTTCTGTGTATGTAAAAGCCCCGCCCACCGCTTCGCCCCGCCCACAAGGCGCACACATCATAAATTTTAAGTGAAAATGAATCCTTTGGGAATTGAAGTTTTCGAGGAGATTTTTGTTGGCGTCGGATCGTCATCAACGGTGGCCGAAAGAGAGGGCCATATCCCAGCAGAAAGAGACGGGGATATAGAGGGGAGGGGGGATGTGCGTATGAAGTTGCTATCGGTATCTGGATGTCGTTGTCTTAATCCTTTGTTGGCCATAAATCAGCGAATCGCGTTCGCATTTCGCGCATGTTCCTGTTCCTGCATCGTCCTTTCCCCTCCCCACCCCCCTTTTCACCCACTTTAACCCCATTTCCCACCCCCCACCCCACTAAGTTAACACGACCATGTGCCCCATAATTCAGGTTTAATTAACTCTGCGTGTTTATTAGCAAATATTAGTTTACAATTTGATATGCCATGTTTTCGGGCACCATCGTTCCACAATTAACTGAGATTTGGGACGGTCCTGAAATGTTGGCCAATTGGGGAGCAATTGAAGAGCCGGCCTAATGGCAGATTAGGCCACTGCCCAGGGCTGGCTAAAATACTACGTAGAGAACAACCATGATTAGCTAATTGAGCGACTGTTGGGAGATGGCGAATCAAAATGGGCTTACAATTGTACATGCAAATAAAAATAATCAAGTTATAAGTCTAACATTTAATCGTTGTTGGTGGAAGGTTTTTCGTTTGGGGGTGCTTAAATCGTTGACGGTTAAATTTAGTAACCTAATAAATAATATTTGGGTTTTGCTTCAAGCCCAGAACCTAATAAATATTAACATATTTTAGTGATAGGTTCCATTTTTAAAGAAACCACTAAAAAAACGGTCTACTTTTTATTCGTATAATAAATCCTGATCCAACTGACTCAGTTTAATTCATCATATTACAAATAAAATATAATCACTTATATAATACACTTACCTTGATTTTATTATTTACCTCTTATTTTTTGAGGTTAGAACAGGATTTCCCAGGTCCTTAAATATTTATATGTCTTAAATGAATAAACCTTCCTTGGAATCCATCGATTTATGTAAAGCCAATTACTTTGTATACTTTTAAAAACTAAGTTAAAATATGATTTGGTTATTTAAGTTTTTAAAAATTTTTTTTATATATTAATTAATGCCAATATTTTTTTATACTTTAGAAAAACTAAGTTTGAGTATTATTTTGATATATAAGTTCATGGAATTAGTTTTAAGTAACACAGATAAATAAATGATAACAAAATATTATTTCTTGAAATTAAATATATATTTTATTTAGTGATAATATTTTTTACCAATTCATATCCCTTGTATGGATTCCATTAACCAAACTTTCATAACTTGGATTATAGCTCGTCACACGAAGTTTTCCTTAAAACGCAACTACTTGCATCTTGAATGTATCTTCAGGAACAAAAACACTCAGTAGTTAATCGATTATTCTCTTCAAATTATAATAACTAAAACTATCAAAACCCTCGCTTACCCCCAATAAAGAGAATCAATAATCCCATTTAAATCGGAAACATACAACTTTTTATTGAACTCTTCGTTTGTTGCTATTAGTTGGTAATTCCTCTTGAATTGCAGACTGGTCGCTAATTTGGAATCAAAGTTTTCAATTAGATCAAGTCCAGATTCGATTTAGATTCGCCTGTTCGCAGAGAGAAAATCATGGTATTTTATTTTGAATGCTGCGCCTTTATTGCATTTATATAACTTACACTTATGATCTAGGGGGCGGGGTGGGAGGTGTTACAGGATATATAGGGGGTGTTTCGGGGGGCGTGGCGAAAAGGAAGCGAACGGTTTCGTTTTAAAAATAATATCACAAAAACTCAAATACAAGTCGTATACATAGTTACCATATATCATAGATATAGATCATTCCCGACGAGAGACGACGACAATAATGATTGTGTGTTGATAATAATGAAATGTTTTACATTCTCCTCCTCTTAGGTTTAGATCTTAGGTTAGATATTCAAGATTCTTAGTTATTGTTGAGACTGGAGTTGCCGGTATACATGGGTAGGTCTGTATATATATATATAGTTCATAGGTGTATATATAATTTTTAAAATTGTTTTCCGTATACATGCGTTGCTGTGGCTACATTTTGATTTCGACTTTCTATATCTTTATATCTTTATGTAAATATTGATAATCTTTAGACATATGGAAGGAAAGTGCTATTGGCTAAGTATTTACATTTATTCAATGCTTCGTTATTTCGTATGAGGGCTATATTTGCATTGTTAAAAGTCTCCATCCAATGAGGTCAACTCTTTTTCTTTAAGTGTTCTGTTTTTACGTATACTGCGTTGCGTTTGTTTTGTATTTGCTTAGGAGTAGTGATTTAATTGTTTTAGTTTAGCTTATTAGATTTAAGTATTTCGAATTTTTTGGCACGCTTCTTACTATTCTTTTCTTTTTGTTTTTTTGACCAGGAACTGCGGCATAATAAATAAATAATCTTTGACTCGTTTTGCGCTGAGTGCACTCCAATTCGAATCCAATTGCACTCGAATTCGAAATCCAATTCCAATTTGCCACTCAATTGTGGCGCTCACTCACTCTCTCGCTCTGGCTCTCATCCCCACCCACTGGGGCTCGCTCGCTCCGTCTCTCTCGCCCCCATCCAATCGCAGTTTGACGAACTCGTGTCGTCGCCTTTCGTCACTCGGCTACTATGGCCGTCTCTGTCCGACGCGCCTTGATGGACAGCAGTTCGTCAAAGTGGTGGTAATTGAATTTCCAGCTGCCCACTAGCCCTCTCTCGCTCGCACGTCCAACTGCGACTGTCCGATTGGGAAACAATAAAAAGCGGACCAGCATCGCCGTGACGTCACCGGCTGAGGGGAAACTCTTGTTTAGGAGAGAGATAGGAGAGACTGGGGAAATGTCTTGGCGAATTCAGCAAAAGTAGGGGAAATCCCTGTGAGCGTGTGTGGGTGTGCAGCGATAAAGAGAGAGGGAGAGTGAGAGAGCCTGCAAAATATTGGCGAGAGCGCGCGAGGAAGAGAGCGTAAATGCAGATCAGAAATCAATGCAGAGAGCTTTCGGAACTTCCGTTTCGAATTGGGAATTACAATGGCTTTGGAATCAGTTGGGATCTTTCCAAGCAAATGTATCTTTTAGCAAACAGATCGGATCGCTTAAGTACTTGCAAGTTAATTTGATTTTTTAGGATTATAATAACTTAAAATAATTTAAGCCATCTGATGGCTTAGCTAAAGATCAGGATTTCTTTAGTACAACATGTTTTTAACCTTTTAAATTGAAATGCAAGTTAAAAACAAGGTTCATCAAAGTTCATTAAAAAAAAGAGATCTTATTAGTTTTAGGTATTTGTTATAAGGTCCTTACTATGGACCTTTGTTAAATGAATCTGGTTCTAACCAATCTGTTTGCTAAAAGAAGCTACAATTCTTATAGGTGACCTAACTTTTCTGTAAGTTCTCAATTCTCCAGTCTGATGATCACTTTTGCCGAACCTTCCGGCGATCCTTAGGCATTCTTCGAGGACAACTGCTTGGCCAACTCCGTGTACTTGAGGAACTTGGACTGCGGACTCTCGTCATAGGGATTGATGGTGGGCGATGGAGGAGGTTGCTGCTGCTGCTGGGATCCCGTCGCCGGACTCCTGGAGGCCGATCTCTTGGGCGAGGCCATGGGCAGCGACTTGGGGCTCTGGGCAGCGGGGGACTTAAGCCTAGGCGACTCCTCGCCAGCGTCCTTCACGAAGTGCACCTTGGACAGGTGGTGGCGGTAGGCGCCCTTCGAGCCAAACGGCGTATCACAGAAGGAGCACTTGATGATGGCCGAGTCGCCGCCGGAGCCACCGCTGCTGGCACTCAGGACCGCCTCATTGCATGCCCAGCTGAAGGCCACCAGGTCGCTGCCACTGGCGGCTGAGGCCGAGCCGCCGGAGGAGCCGCTGCGAGGATGCGTGGCAGGGGGATCCGTGGTCTCGCAGAGTTTTTGCAGGGCAGCCAGGGGATGGGCCTTTGGTTTCTTGGTCGGCATGATGCTCGAAGTGTTGTTGTTGTTGTAGCAGTGTCCTGAAGGATAGATGAATAGGGAACATTAACATGGAGTATTAAGTAATCGGAGAAAGGTCAGTGAAGATAAGGAATAGTTGAATCGACTAACTCACTAAGATGAATTAATAAATTTCAAGAAATATTTTAATAAGTATTAAATTTAGCAAATATTAACTTAGAATGCAGATGCGTACTTGAAACAGATTATATGTAAAAGCACAATTTAAGGTTCATCAAAAACACTTCGGTCCAGTGTAATCAAAAAACTATAGAGATTTATCTTGATATTTAATAGGTGAATTAGTAAATCTAGTTTTTATAAAACATGGCATACCTGAGGTGTAACACCTTTTACATTATACGAAAAGTATACAGTTAAATTTATTCCAAAATATTGTATACAAGTATTTTATATTTTTAAGTATTTTGTTCATTATTGTCAACCGATTAATTTTGTGTTTTAAAATGGTGCGACCAATTACTTAACAAAAATGAGGTATTTGTAATAAAGATGTCTTGCAATAATAATTCTTAGAATATTTTAAAATTTGTTAATCGCACACCTTTGTAAAATTTCCATTTTAATTAAAGGCATCACTTAGGTAATGTATTTTTGAATGCATTCACATTAAAAACTGTATTTTTTAAATAACTTATGAATCAATAAAAAGGCATAGAATTTCATCCTCCACAAACTATGTTTATTATAATAAATAATAATGTAATAATATAAACTATATTTTGATTTATTTCCACTCACCCGAGTTGTTGTTATTGTTGTTCTCCGCCCCACTCAGCTGATCGAACATGGAGTTCAGGGCCAGCAGACTGCCATTGTCTGGAGCAGATCCTCCTCTTTCCGGAGCAGGAGATTCCCTGGCGGACCGAGGACTCTCCCGACTCGCCTCCATGCTGAACTCCTTCTTCACGTGGATCTGCTGCCGGGGACTGCAGCTCTCCCGTTCCCCCGACCCGCCCATCGAGGCGTCCGCCTCTGGCGGCTCCGCCTTAATGGTGGGTGGTGGCGGAGGAGGCGGGGCAGGGGTATCCGGAGTCCTGCGGGGCGTGGCCTGCTGTCTGTCCGGGGTGTACGATGACTCCACCCGACTGGCCGAACTCGATTCGCTGGCACTGCGATCCCGCGAAGCGTAGGAGGATCGGAGCAGGTGCATCGCCTGGGCGTCCATCAGGGGTTTTGTGTAGTCACTGCTGTCATCGATGCCCAGACGCTTCAGGATGCTGGCTCCCAGCGGAGTTCCGGCCTCGGAGTAGCCGCCAGGAGTCATGGATCTGCCAGCCCTCGACTCGAAGCTCTTCTCGATGAGCTGCTCCAGGGCATTCAAAACCGATGGTGGCTTCTCACCGCCCATTCCCGCACTGGGACTTGGCAGACGCTCCACTCCCGCATTGGATCGCCTGGGCGGTATGGGAATGCTCTCGCCCAGGCACTTCCTTATGTGCTCCACAAACAGGGCGGTCTCTATCTTGCTGCCACACTTCTCGCAGGTGATCTTGGTGGCTGCCGCAAAATCCCTAAGGGGTTTGAGAGCTGAATCCAAACTGGAGTTCGATCCGGAACGCTCGAGTTCCAGCAGTTTCCTCACGGGCAGCGACTTCTTGCGCTTCTCATTCCTATTCTGCCTGCCCCTCTTGGAGTTCCCTGCACCAGGAGCTGGCGGAGAAGCCGAGGAAGTGGGTGACTCCTTGTAGTGCGACTGCTGGGCCATGTGGCTGCTCAGCTCCTTGAGGGTGCCGAAGGCCTGGTCACAAACCTTGCAGGTGAGCACGGCACTAACGGAGGGCGCCGGTCCACCAGCCGAAGGAGGAGCAGGTGGAGCCGTGGTTGCCGAAGGAGCTCCACCATTCGAGGGCCTTTCCCGCTCATCGCCCGACTTCCAGGATATGATCTGCTCCTGCGAAATGATGTTCGTGTAGTGCTGCGTCTCCTGCATGTGACTGGTCATCTCGGCCAGCGATCGGAAGCTCTGGCCGCACCACATGCACTTGAGTATCTGGCGGGTTTGCTCCGCGCCCTTGCCCAGCCAGACATCCTGACCTCTGACCAGTTTCCTGGGCAGCGGCATTGTCTCCTTGATCAGCATATTCAGCTCGGATTTGGAGGAGTTTGAGGAGCTGGATGTGGAGCTGCTGCTGCTGGAGCAGGCCGAATTGGAGGCGGAAGTGGGCAGCCTGGAGGGAGGAGGACCACTAGGGGGTGCCCCTGCTCCTCCGCCGCCTGACGAGGGCGAGGGTATCTGGACGCCGCAGTGCTGGGTCTCCTTCATGTGGGTGGTGAGGCTGGCCAGCGTGGAGAAGCTCTGCTTGCACCACACGCACTTGAACACATCCTTGGCGGCGTCGGCGCCTTTGTTCAGCCAATGAGACTGCCAGGCACTGTGACGGCCACCGGAAGTGGAACCTCCTACTCCTCCAGTTAGCCCTGATCCCAGCGAGCCTGCTCCGCCTGAGGAGTTCCTGGGCACTGGTGGCGGCGTTTCCCTTCTACTCATCTCGCTCATCTTCTCCAGCGCCTTGCTGGCCTCACTGGGTGCCATCTTGGTGCTGCCCAATCCCCCCGTTTTGGCCGCCACAGCCGCCAGGTAGGGATTGATGGGCGGCATCCAGCTGCCCGGAGGCAGTGGTGACTTGTAGTCCGCAGATATGCTCCTGGGAATCTTCCTGGCTGGCGGGGAGTCCTCACCGTGCCTTTTCCTTGTGCTGACAGAGAGATCCAGGGGCACGGTGTCACCCTGGTGGTCCTGCTCGGGCTCTGGGTCCTGCTCCTGCTCCTCCTGATCCTGATCTTGATCTTGATCCTCCTCCTCCTCGCCATCGCTGGTGGGTCGCTTTCTGCTGAAGTCCAGGGCTGGGGACTCCACCTCCTCTGCCGCCGCCTGCTGCGTGGCCTGCTGGACCAGGGATGCCGCTGCGGCCAGGGGATTCGTCAGCAGCAGGTGATTCTGTTGGGCGGCGGCCAGGTAGGCAGCCATGGCCGCGGATTGGGGTGGCAGCAGGGCAGCTGCAGCCGCGGGTGGAAGCGTCGCCGTCAGGGGAAGACCCACTGAGTGGGGCGAGATGGGCGTGGCCGTGGGCGTGGGCGTGGCAGCCGGGGTCAGGCGATCGTTGGCCGAGCAGTGCGACTCATTTGAGGGACACCGCACGTCGCCAGATCCATTTCCCGCTCCAGCCGAGGTGTTGGACTCCCGGGACTGACACCGCGGACTAGCCAGCTCGCTGGAATGGAAAGATGGGGAAAATGGTGGTCAAAATCAAGGAACTGTATCATATAAAAAATAAAATAAATACATGAGATAAGACATTCCTACTTAAATTATCCATGTAAGTGGTTAAGGTCAAGATATTGTCATATGTGTCCTTGGATTAAAAACTTATAATTTGTCCTTGCAATAAAAATTGTTTACTTTGAGAAGATGAAATATTGTAAAATAAATTTTGTAATCAAATCAAAGTCATTATAAATATTGACTGCCACTAGACTATTTCCTTTTCAGAAAATTTCTATATCATTAATTTAACAAGATTCTAACTCTGTATGATATAAATTAGTTCAAATTGGTTATAAAGAAGATTAACACAACTTTTTTGAATATTTAACTATTTTACAAAAAAGGTCCTTGACGTGTATTATTAGCCATTCCATCAATATATGGATTGAAAACATCTTATGACAATACGACACGTGTTTTTTACTTCGAATAAAAATAAAGTATTTAAGCTTATTTCATATTAACACAAGCCACTTAATCTTTCACTGGCAAAAAACATAATAATTTACAAAGATACAAAGATAGTTTTAAACATTAAGGTATTTTATTGAAAAGGAAGTATACGTTGCATTTGACACAGTTGTCCAAGTTTATTAATCCAGCTCACACACATACTTGTTGTAGTTATCGCTGCTTAATTTTCTTTTTTCAAACCTAAACTAATTTTTAAAACATTTTTAGCAAGAATTCAACACATGATTAATATTTAATATGTTACAATCACAACAGATTTCAAGACACTAATACATTATAAGTCCCACAAAATAGAACCCTTCTTTGTTCCAAACAGTATTGGGAGCTCTGATTTATTTAAGAGCAATCACAAGTTTAAACCGAAATCAAAATAAATTTAAGTCGATTTGCAGCACGTAGTTTTCTAAAAAAAAGGATCTTGATTTTGATTTAATTAAGGGGTTTTAGTCCATATTTATGTACATTTTAAACCTTTCTTTGATTTTCTTAGTTTGCAATTAACCTAGGTTCACATTAAATGAAATAGGATGGTACTTGAATTTAAATTTCCCTAATAAAATATTCTGCACTACTTCAAATCTAAATAGCTCCCAATGGAAATCAAACAAATATAATAATAATATAGGGGACAAACAAATCGAGGGAATTGGAATCGGATTTAAACTCGAATCACTCACCTCGCACTCAACGCCTGGCGATAGATCTCCAGCATGACGGCCTCGTGTAGCATCATTTTGTTGGAATTATTTGGGATTTGTGTTTTTTTGGGGGCCTCACTCCCTGCGAAGGTTAGATTACTTTGGCTGTTTGGCAATTAATTTCGACTGCCCATTGATAGGGCTTGTATTTCGTTTTTTTATTTATTTTATATTTTTATACTTTTTGGGTTCCCTTCCGTTGTCACACTTCACTTCCAAATCCAAAATCCAAATCAAATGTGCGCGAAAAGAACTCTGATTTTATTTTCGTTCACTAAATAAATTCTTTGGCTATGCATGTGTGTGTGTGTGTCAGTTTCGTGTTGAGCTTCTATCAAAAACACACACGTCAAATAAATCAAATGTCACAATGGTTCGACGAAGGGGGGGGAGGGGGCTTGGGGTAGGGGGGCACCACCACTGATGACGAACGCGTGCGTGTGTGTGCGAGTGTGTGTGTTGCAGGCGTATTTGTTATTGTTGTTGTTGTTGCGGTCAAACTGCCGCCAATTTCACTTCCTTCTGCTTCCTCTTCCTCTGGCTCACACAACAGCTGTGCGTGTGTGTGTGTTGGGGCTATTAATTTAATGATTTACTGACGGCTTGCCACAAGATTTATGTTTATTTATTTCCACGCGGAGAACTCTTAGGGTCTTTCGATTTTCGTTTTGTTTTTTTGGTTTCAGTTTGTTTCTTTTCGACTTTTTTTATTGTAAACTACTCTCTGGTTACTGCTGCACCACCCACTGAACACCCACCGTTGAAAAGGCTAACGGGAAATCAAGAAAGTGCGACATGATTTCGTTCCGTCGTTCGGCCGTCGACTAAAACAAACTGAAAGATACAGATACTTGGCAAGCGGCAACCTAAACGAACGAATACGAATCTTTTTGACAATTGAAACGTTGAGAGCTGACAGCGAGCGGCAGCGTCGGCGGCGGCAGAGAGCGGGCAGCGAGAGAGCGACTGCCGACAGCTTTCCCCATTAAATTGATATATGCCGGCAGAGATGAGAGGCAGAGAGTGAGAGAGACAGTGGGAGAGTGCGCCAGAGCGCCTGCGCTCTCCGTTTGTGCAACTTTGTTTTGATTTATGAGCCTCGCTCTCGTACTTTACTGCACTGAGAGCAGCGGACTGCAGATTGGCAAGAGAGAGGGAGTGGGAGAGAGCGAGCGTGTGACAGGTGTTTGTGTGTGGGGGCCGGTCTGGCCCGCGTGCGTGTGTGAGTGGGTGGAAGGGGGGCTTTTGTGTTTGTATTGCAGCTGGTCAAATGCTGACTGCGCTGCCGGCGTCGACGTCGCTGCCGCTTAAATCAAGGTTATTTATTGAAATTGAAAATGAAGCAGTGTGTGGGGGAGGGAGGGAGGGAGAGCAGCAAGGAGCGAGAGAGGATTGTTAAAGAGTTTCCATTTCCAGCACTTGAAGAGCATTAATTCCTGCGCTGCTTTTTTTTTTTGCTAAAAAGTTATTGTTGCCTCTCCACCTCCGCCCCCTTTTCTATCGCCCTCTCTTTCTGGCATGCGTGACCCAGGGAACAATTGTTGCATGCACACAGCAAAAGGATAACGGGATATTCAAGGAATGTTAAGAGAGGGGGAAGAGAAATGCAGATTTATGCCAGAAGGAGATGGAAGATTTAAAAACATCCAAGGGATATTATATCTTTCAGATCCATTTCGAAAAAAGAAGCCTAGTTTCACCATCCATCCCTCTTTTTCAGATTTCTATCGCTTTTCTTTCCCCACTGTAATTATTTTCCAATATTTGTGCGCATACAGCCATTACGCATCTTTATTAGTTTTGTCTTTCGTCTTATGCGTTTCAAACTTGTCAGAGAAAAATATAGAAAAATGTAAGACTGAAAACCTCTGCTTTTTACACTCATAGAACACCAAATATTACTTATTTCTGTATCAGTATTTTCTTACAATAATTTCTTACCTTAAGCGCATCGTTGGTAATGTTGTGCAACATTTTGTATTCAAAAAGTATGCAACAAAAAATGTGTTCTTAAACCCACCCTCAAACCGGATTCCATAAAACTTGTTGTTTTTCATTTGGTTTAACAAAGTTTACAAATATTTACCTAAATTTGATTTATTAAATCACTTCCAAAAATTATAAAACTGAATAAAACATTTACTATTATGCAATGAACGTTTTAAATTGGATTTCATAATACCCAATTAAGCTAATTGGGTAAATCCTTTTACTTTTTACTCGTATTTCTAGTGGCGAATATGGTATCGCCCTTCTGGCTGTTTCAAATGGAATCAATGGAATGTGTGTTTCTGACTGAAATCGGATTGACAGGCGGTGGAATATCACGACACCTGACAATTGTGGCCAAAATGCAGCACCCGCTGCTGTCAGCCATCAAAACTTGGACACGTTCTGCGTGCTCTGGTGTGGGTTTCGGCTTTTTGTGGACTAGAAATCTGACATAACAATATGTTGGGTGGCCTAAACTCTCGAAACGGAAACCTCTTTTCTGGTTTAACATTGTTGCAATGTCAATTATTATGCTAGTATGGGCAAATATGCAAAAGGAATTATTTTCTTCTAATTATTTTAAGATACAAAACTTGGAATATTTTCTCAGGTTTAAAAAATAGGGAGGTGTTTTAATTTTGTATATTACTTTAATGGATTGTATTCCTTAAAAATAAAAAATTCTGATTCTTGGAGCCTTTTTTAATATTAATTTAATACATTAGTCATATGGACAATATACTTAGATATTACAGACTGCATCTTCAATGTTAGTTCCAACTTAGGACCGAGTGGGCAATGAGAAGATAGGCAGAACCGATCACCATGGTCACCAGCATCAGTGGAAACCCAATGACGAAGAAGTGCCAGAAGGAGATCTTGTACCCATGTTGAAGGGCTATCAGGGCAATGATCTCATTGGAAACGGCCCCAAATAGCGATCCATTTCCCCCGAAACAGGCGCCAAAAGTCAGGGCCCAAAACATTGGCGGTAGTGGAATATCATCCTTGCTGGCCATCTGGAAACTGAACTTCAGCATGAAGATGGTAACGGCGGCGTTGTCGATGAAAACCGTTAGTAAGGCGGTCGTCCAAAGGAGCAACATGGTGGTCACCGCCGTCTGGTGTTGTGGCTCCAAGCTGGTCAGGAACATCACTGTCCTATCTCCAATCCACTCGAAGAAACCCAACTGATCCACTGCCTCCGAAAGAACAAAAAGGGCGGCGATGAAGAGGAGGATGGTCCACTGTATAATTTCCAGAGTGGCATTCAGATCGCTCTTGTCATCCAGGATGATGAGCAGAAAGGCGGCCAGCAGAACCACCCAGCCCAGGGTGGCACCATCAGCGACCTTGGGAATCGAATGGAGGACCATGCAGAGGAAGGTAAATGACAGGGCAATGCAGCACTTGATCAGCAGAGGCTTGTCCCGGATACGACTGCCCTCCTCCAATCCCGCCAAGGTTTCTGGATAGTTCTCTGCCGGCTTGAGCCAATATCTACCAGGTTCCTTCTCCTTGAGCTGAGTTATGCGATCCTGGGTCTCCTGACTGGGTGGAGCCTTCTCCCCCTCCCTCTCCTTCATCAGATCCAGCTGATGTTGGTCCAGCACAAAGATACTCTTTCTATGGGTCACATAAACTATGCCAAAGACCACAAACATGGCCACCAGCACACCCGGCAGCATATGGATTACGAAGTTGACAAAATCCACACCTTCTGCCACCACCGCAGGATTGGTGGTCACTATGGCATTGGGTGGATTTCCCATGGGGGTCAGGGCACCCCCCATATCTGCGAATATGGCCATTATAACCAGCACATAAGCTGTCCTCAAGGACATCTCCTCGCACAATCGAATGGTTATGGGGGTTAGGACCAGTGCCATGTTATCGCTGTTTAGAAAAGCAGACAAAAAGGCAGTCAACATGCTGAGGAAAAATATCAGAGGCCAAGGACGACCCCTGGAAATTCTATAAGTCCAAACAACCAGGTATTCAAAAACACCCGTCGTAGCCATAATATCCACAATAGTCATTAGACCGAAGAGCAGCATCAGGGACTCAAAGTTCACATGGGATATTATAGTATGCACATTTGGCCGATGCTCCAGCAGACCCAGAATCGCTATAGCGGTGGTGGCTATAATGAGAGCGGCAAAGGTGTGATCTATAACATCGAAGATGATCAGCATATAAAGACCGAGGATCAAGAGGCCGGCGTAGAGGACGCACATGTTGGTGATCAGAGGATTGGTGTTAATCAACATGTGCAGGGAAACCGGAGAGTCCTGCTTGCTCTCCAGGGAGATCACCGCCTGACGATCCCCACCGCTCCATTCGTGCAGAATGAAGTTCCTTGAGACCTCCAGATACGCCGTACTATCGCTGTTCATCACAATGTTCCACATATCCGATCGGTGATAGGACACATTCAAATCGGAGTTAACACACTCCACACGTAAGCCCGCTCCATATTCTCCGTTATCCTCTTCGGGAAACCTCATGAGATACCAGTCCACAGGTCCAAGTAGAGATATTCTCACAACCCCATTAGGCAGATCTACCTTCCTGAAAACCGTTTTATTGGGCATCACGGTCACCATAGTACTTCGCGGTTTTTCCTCTGCGGCAAATACGAATACTATGAATGTGCAGGCGAACCAGAGGAGCAACAGGATGCACATCTTGGTAATATGAATGATTTTCCTACTGCGGTCAGAAAGTCTGTGCTCTTCGTCATCGTGGACATCTGTTCTGGTTCGACGCCAAACCTGCAAGCGGCTACCGCCTAGATATCTTGAACTTATAGGCCGAGGGGGATTACTTAAAATTTTCATTTGATATGTAAGTCAAACACGACTGGGGTTTTTAGGTTAAGTCGTAGTACTCTAATGATTCTCTTTGGGATTTATTCAATGTACCGTTTAGAGTAACCACATATTAGACAAGGAACTATAGAACTTAAGTATACTAAGATAATCCTTCACCTAAACCAGCGGTTACCAGCAGAAGCGGAGGGTGCCCGTGGGTTGTTGTCTCTGCCTCCGCTCTGCCGACACACACACAGTATAAAACAGTGCTTAGGACATACATATTTTTAAGTTGCGCTGATGAAATCATTCATACAAACCACGAAAAGTGGATTTCTACCAAGGTGTATAATAAATAATTTCACTTTTTTTGAAAAGAAGGAACCATATATTATAAAAATATTGAATACTTAATTTAGACTCGCAAGATTTTATGTTAAAGGGAATGTTTACTGATCTCATTGAAAACTTAATTTAGATTCGCATGATTATTATGTTAAGGGGATCCTTACTGTTCTCGAACTGAAGAGTTGTATTTGGCATTGTTTAGCTGTCAAAATATAAAGTATTTTTCCATTGAACCTCAAGTTTCTTTGATTTTTTCACTGTACAGGGCAACCACAATCGACTCAAAGGCCCTGCCCCACCCACCTAGGAATGGCCGGCCGTCAGTCAGGTTTGTGAAAATTGCATCCAGCAGGCGGCCTGTGGAAGCTGCCAATTCGCTGCCACAAATGTCATGTAACGCGTCCGTTTTTCTATTGCAACAGAAACATTTTTCAAGCCTGCAAAAACTGCCGGGCTTTTGTTGTTGTTGTTTAGGCAGCGGTTAACGTCACAAATCGAATTGACACACGATTTTTATCACAAGTTGCAACTTCCGCGCGACTCTGCGGAATCATTTTCCAGACCCCCACACATCTCCTGTCCATCTGTCAAAAAATGCAGAATGCAAAAGCAGAAAAAATCCTGACGCCTTTTTTGTGGCGGTGACGGACGCGTCCAGACGACAACCACAACGACAGCGAAGTCGCCAGAATGCCATAAAAATGCAGGCGCCAGTTCTTTCCCCATCCCATATGAATGTGATCACTTCCCCCTCTTCTGGGAGACCTCAAAAATAAATGGTATTCGCCTTTAAATTTAGACACAATTGCAGATACGATTCGGTTACATTTTGCAGTAATGGGAAAAGCCAGAAACCAAAATCTCAATTGGATTGAATGGCAGCTACCTGGGAACTCGGTGGCCCCCAATTTGAGGTGGAGTCAAAAGTTAAATGGAATCTATCTAACACACAACAAATTATGGTTTTGGCAAATGTTTACGAGCTGTGGGTTCAAAGTATCTGTCAGAGTTTTTGGCAAATTTTCGGAACATTTTTGCACAGCCGCGGGTGATTTTTTCCATGATTTTCTGGAGATTTTAATTATTGTTTGCCTTGAACTAGAAGTATGTTTAGTAGAGGAAGTCAGAGGAATTTAAATGCTTCCCGGACAGACTATATATAAGACGATATTATTTCCAATTCTATATTAAAAGTTTGATATACAAAATATTTTATCCCTTATAAAGGTGTCTAAAAGTATGCAACAGTTACTGAGAAAAGAAATTAGTTTTCGTTGCATACTTTTAGACACACATGTAGGCGATTTTAAAATGCTCATTTGGTCGCTATCCTTTTAAATCAATTTGAAAGTATTTATTTGATTTACTCCCCTTATTCTAAGCTGAGTAACACCAATATGCCAAACTAATAATTTTGGTGTAGGAAACCCATAAGCAAATTCCATTTGATGTAGGATTTCAAACCACAACTTACAGCAACGTTATGGTGAGCTTGGCAAACATATGCCACCATTCATCAAATGGCGAAGGACCTAGTCCTTTTCGGATGAGCCATCTCATTCTTCCGCCTCATCTCTCTGCCTCCAAATGTCTAGCAGCATCAAGCCAGACAAAAACACAACTCAAAATACAATTCATCTGCATAAACATTTGTGGAGCTATTGAAAAACAAACAGAACCAGCCCGTGCAACAGCAATAAGACAAATAACCCAAAAAAAAAACCACCGAGCTGGGTTCCAAACTGCATGTGAGTGATGCGGATAGATGAATTGCCACTTCCCCGTACACTGCCCCATTTGGAAGTCCCAAAGCTCGACTTTGGGTACCATCTATCGATGAACAAATTAACAGGGACACTAGGAATCAACAGCCATTTGATGACTGTGAAGGAGTTGGGATATACTTTAAAGCTTGGCGATAATATAACTATACAATTTTGTTAATTTTTGTAAATTTAATTTCCTGGTAAATTTTTAAAAACACTTTATATCACTTTATAACACTTTAGTAAAAAATATTTTTTGTTACTATATAGGATTGCATGGTCATATAATAATACATTAATGTATAAATAGGTAAAAATAAATTAAAATACATATGTATATAAAATATAATATAATATGTATATATAATATAATATAGTTTGTAATACTGAAAACTAGGGAATTATAAGCGCTATGTGGTCATTATAAAACTCTAGAGGTTTTAGGTTCAAGGTGTTGAATCCTATCCTTTTACAATCGTACATTATATTATAGATAGATATAGTATGATCTAGATTTAATAAAAAGCATACTAACTGCTACTACTGATTTTTGAGTGCAGTGCTAACGATAGTTGTGTGACCGTTAACTACGCCAGTGCCAAAAAACAATGAAGAGCACATTCGAGGGGAAAGTGGAGAAAGTTTATGCTCGCCTTGCTGCCTCAGAATGTGATGAAATTCAAATGGCGGCCAGGAGGATGGGGATGGGGAGGGGGGTGAGTGTGGGAATTAGGCAGTGGGAGTGGCACATAACGAGCCCAAAACACTAAACTCCGAAACTGAATGAATGAGTGTCAAGTGTGATATATCACCGCAAAAACAAGACCATAAGCATGAGTGATAAACGCTGTTGAGCTTGGTTAGCGCATTGCAATGCACAAACACACACCCGAACACACACCCCTTCCCCACACACACTGTCACAAACAGTATGTCAGCGCACACACACATGTGCATGCAGTCATAGACATGTCAACATGTTGATGATGGTAACTAACTAGAGCAAGAGCCACCACGAGAATCCTGGCCAGGAGGGGTTGGGAGGGGCAGGATATGGCAGATGGATTCGGATTGGGACTGGAAGCGGCGGTGGGAGTGGGATTAGGACTGGGGCATGGGCATGGTTGTGCCACTGAAACCGGCGCTCCAGGCCGGAGTTGCGTCTAGGCGCGATAAAGCGATGAGGACAACAGCCACTGGCGGCGGGGGAGGAGCAGCGAGTGGATCTAAAAACATCCTAACTGCCGCACAGTGCAACCAGAGATCCAGAAAAGTATAGATATTTGCATTGAAAACACCTTTATCGAAATAATATAGTATTATTTATCGGAATATTTATCGGATAAATAAATTATAAGACTTTTTAACATGTTATAAGAAAAATTAGAGCACCAACCTTAAACAAAATTTAGCGACCCTTTTCGAACTTAAGAAGTGGATCATTGGAATAAGGATTTCTACTATTAAGAAATAAGGACGATTTTGAAATCTCTTGTAATGGTTCCTAAAAGTATGCAGTGGAAAAAGAAAATCGTCTTTCGGAACTTCAATATTCAAAATATATTGTAGCATACCCCTTCATTAGTAATTTCAAAAACACTTTCAAAAACTGTTTATTTTTACAATTAAGATGTTTATTATTAATAATGCTATAAGTACACATAGTTAGGGGCATGATTTTTTTACCTTATAAATAATCTCCGATCAATCGAGGCTTAAATTTAAAAATCGTTTTTTTTAATATTTTGAGTTATGTTAGGCTTGACTTTACTAGGCAATCTTATTGAACCAAAATAAATATTTTTTGGACTCCACTAAAAAAATCACCATCTTAAACCATTGATTCTGATTTCGTTTCTTTTGGTGAGCATTATAGATATCCCCCAGAGCACTGTGCCCATTGAATGTTTTGTGCAACATACTGCGGCAATCACAAGTGATGAACTGCAAAATGTCACAGGCCAAGGAGCGGTGTGGGGATAGAACTAGGAATTGGGATGGGGATGAGGATAGGGATTCGGATCGGAGGAGATGGATTTGGGAACAGAGGAACGCGCTGTGGCCGCTGTGTGATGATGCCCTCTGCTCCCAATCTCGTTGGCCTTGTTGTTCGGTGGCTGATGTTGATGTTGCTGTTGCTGGTTCCGTTGGTGTTTTGGCAAAAAGGCGTCAAGGCGTTTAAGCCGAAAACAAAAACTGGCAACTAGGAATTCATTGGCCAAAAACAATGCAATTAATTTCACTTACCCGTCACCGTTATGCTGCCGTTCCGTTCTGTCCGTGAGTGATGATGATGCTGCTGCTGTGTCGCCTGTCTAGAGTTGAGTGTTGCTGCTGCTGCTGATGTTGCTGCTGCTGGTGTTGCTGTTGCTGTTGCTGATGTTGCTACCACTGCCGGACGATCCAAATCCAGTTCAGACTTTATACACTCGTCCAAACTCCAAAGCGAGGCGGAAGTGTCAACGAGGCGAGGCTTTTCACCGGGCGGTGATGAATTTCATAGTTGTTGATTTTATGATTGCCGTTTGTTGCTGCCTGTTTTTTTGATACCCCCAGTTGCTGCTGCTGTTAGTCAGTGATGGCCTAGTTATTATCCTATTTTTTGGGTATTTTTATCGGAAGAGGTGAAATATGATGCAGTGTTCAAAGAACGATTAGATGTTTTGAATGTTTAATGGAGTTTATATCACTTGTTAAATCCAAAACGTATCTCTAATAATAATAATATGAAAAATATTATCTTTAAGATATGATTTTGAAACAAATGTATCTCAAATAATAATAATAACTTTAAAGATTATTATTTTTAAAATATGTTTTTGATCCAAAAGTATCTAAAATAATAATAATATTAAAGATTATTATCTTGTGTGTTTGTGTTTGTGTGTTTGATTAAAAAGAAAACCCTTCGTAAGCATTGAGAAATTGCCTGCA